ACAAGCTGGCGCCGCGGGGGCAAGGGGTGCGGGGAGGTGACTGACGCAGGGGCGGAGGGCTGCGGGGGGGGAAAGCAGAGGGGCTACTCCGGAGCCCCCCACTCCCCTCTGAACTGCAACGGAGCCAAGGACACCATCTCATTGCACACCACGGGAGCGTATTCCGGCGGGATGAGGGATGCTGGGGCTCTGGGGACGGGTCTGGAGGGAACAGGGGACATCCTCGTGGGGCTGCTGATGGCTTTCTGTCCCCGGTGGTACCCCGGTGACGGTGGCTCTGGGCAAGGGCTGAAATCCCTCCCTGCTTTGCACAGAGCCATCTGTTTTCTCCAAACCGGGACTCAGCCTTCACTTCTGCTTTGGGGTTGTCGCTTAAATCCTTCCTGCGGCCATCGTAACGGAGAGGAAACCCTCTGGCCCCCGTACGCTGCAGGGCGGCCAAGGGGGGCTGCGTGGGCAGCACTGGGTTTTGGGACCGGGACTGATGCAAACCGGGGAGGGACCATCTCCCCAAGCCCCCTGCGTCCGTCACGTCCCCGCACGTGTCCCGTGCCCCGCGGTGCCGTCTCGGCCCCATCTGTCTCCCGCTGTCAGCCGGGCCGTGGCCGCGGGGCTGGTATCGAGCGGGGAGATGAGGAGGTGCGAGAGGCGGCGCTGACAGCGGGGAGGAGGATGGAGGGGGCTCAGCCCCAGGCAGGAGCGGACCTGCCAGGGCTCATCCGCAGCATTGCACCGCGCTCTGCAGCTGATTTTTCTGCTGGAGAGAAAAGGAAAGGCAAGGATGCGGCCCTGGAAGGGTTTGAAACACCAAACGCTGCCCCGAGCGTGGGGGTTTGCTCCCAGAGGTGCACCGTCAGGGAAGGGCAGCCTCTGGCTCCGAGTCTGTAAAACACCAGTTCTCAGCGTCCGAGGTGATGTCTAACCCGACTCCGTTTTGTACGGCTTCTCCTCGCCGAGAGCGGAGGCGGAGCCTGGATCTGGCTGAACTCTGGTGCGAATCCGTGTGACATTTACTTTCCTTTTGTGTTTGGCTCTGGGAGGTTTCAGCCTGCTGCCCCACTCGCTGCTCAGCAAAGGGTGTGGGTCAGGGCTTTCTGCGTCTAAGCTAATTCCCACTCTGCAAAATGCATCGTCTGACCTTGTCCCACAGTGATTTCTGCTGCCCTTGGCACTCAGCTTTGCTGGGTGTAAAAAGGCTGTAGGAAGAGGTTCACCACATCTCCTGTCGGGCTCGGGAACCTCCATCAGAGCCATCGGAGACAGGGCCAGCCCTAGCACTTTCCTTCGTCCCTTCAGAAGGGCCCTTTTCCCCACTTGCTGCCCCTTTCAGTCCTTCTTCATGCTCCTTATCTGATCCTTCCCATCACCTTCCTTCCAGTTTTGGGCACCTCTCCCTCAGGCTCTCGTTTGCCCTTTTGGCTGGTGCGTTTCCAGCCTGATGGGTGGAAGAAGGTAAATGTCATCACCAAGACAGAGGGGACAAGGACCGCGGGCTGCCTCAGTCCCCAGCAGGATTAAGAGGCAAATCCCTCTGGAAGCCCTCTCCAGGCAGAGGAAGGGCAGGAGGGTGACCGTGAGTACCCAGCATGGATGTACCAAGGGCAAGTCATGCTTGACCAACCTGAGTGCCTTGGGTGATGAGATGATGGCTGCGTGGATGGAAAAGAGAGCAGTGGGTGGCATTTACCTCAACTTTAGCGAGGTCGTCACAATCTTCTGTTGGCTCCTTGCAGCCAAACTTGTGAGCTATGGTTTGCAAACAAGGAATTTAAGATGGGTAGAAAGGTGCTTCATTGTCTGTGGTGCTTGGGACTGCTGATGGACCCTGTTACCAGCCCTGGCTCAGCCCCTGCGGGACTGTGCCCCATCGGCGAGGTCCCCCTCGGCTCCCGGGCATGATAATGTCAAACACGGCACTTGTGGAGCTGATTCTGTCTCTGAAATGTTCAAAAAGTGGATGGGAAAATGGGGTGTTGTTCTGCGGTTTGCTCTGAAGAGAGCCCGAAGCTCTGTTGTTCACTCAAGCTGAGGCCATCTCCTCTGCGTACACTTCTTCTTCAAACTAAGAAGTGCAGAGGAAAGATAATGACCTGCTTTGGGCTTTGTCACTTCCCTGGGGCTCAAAGAGATCCTCGGTCCCCAAATCCCCAAATTATGTGAAAAAGTAAAGGTGTTTGCTGATGGTGGTTTATTTTCGAGCTCCCCTGCAGAGCTTCAGGCACACGCGTCTTCACATCCATCTCCAAGAGCATCAGGAGGGAAGCAGAGATAGTGCTGAGATGTAAGTGAGGGTCGTCATCTTCCAGCCCAAGCTGGAGCTCCAGTACCAGGTTCACGAGCAAGGACGGTGCATGCTGAGCCACCCATCTCCTGTAGTTTTCTCTTGCAAAAAAGAAACAGCTCCTATCTTCATCTCATGCCCTACCTGCAGGGTCCTGGGCTTCAGTTCTTCATGATACTCTGGACTTTCCACCAAAACCAGGGAGCTGGCTGTCCTGTGTCCTCACCACACAACTGCTGAGAAGGGAGGCCTGGAGATCCCCCAGTTGGAAAGCACGCTCAGGAGGCTTCCTCTCCCCATTGACCACATCTGGCCCTGGATGAGGACCAGAAACTTTCCTGTAAAGAACATTTAGGGAGCTTACTGTTGCTGAGATGATGCAGGTCCAAAAGATTATTTTTTTCCCCCAAATATTTTCAAGGAGGGATCGCTCAGCTTTGGGGTTGCCCATTTCCATTTGAAGCCCCTAGGAACAGGCTAAAGACCTAGGAAAAGTTGTTATAGCTAAAACAGTGTATCAGGAGGGAGGGGAAACCAAGACAAACCTCTGCGTAAGGTTTCATAGTTAGGAAGAAGTCCCAGCAAAGAAGGAGGAAGTGGGTGGTTGGCAAATGCCACCGAGAGGACGAATAATCACCTCGGCACTGTAAAAGCATCGTGTTTCTCTGTGTTTCAGGTTGAGCTGGATGATCTCCGAGTCCCAGGCTGAACGCTAACAAAGGGGATGAAATACAGCAGCAAGGTAAAGCTACTTGGGTGTGTGACCTCCCTACAGCTTTTCACGAAGGTGGTTGCTGAACATCCAGAAGTGGGCCGGAGGACCACACACCACGCTGTGCCGTGGGATTTTACAGCTCGAGCAGAGCTTTGCTGTTGCAGCACCCCATGTGTTTTACCCGCACTGTGATACGACTTTTGGCAAGCTGCTTCTAGTTGATCTGTGCCTAAACTCTTCCTTTAGATCTTGTATGATTGTCTCCGAGCAGGTCCCACTGGAGAGAGGGTTTTCCACCTGGCAGATACCTGCCTGTTGTAGAAGAAACCTCCAGCAGGGAGTTCACACAGAAAGCACGCATCCAACTAATGGCAGAAAGCAATTGCACCCAAGCGATTTGAATGAATTCAGCTTAACGGGGTTCACAGAGGGCCCAGTGACTCAGGTCACCCTCTTTCTGGTGTTTTTGCTCACCTATCTTGTCACCATCCTGGGGAACCTTGGGACGATTGCGTTAATCAGGGCCAGCCCTCAGCTTCACTCCCCCATGTATTATTTCTTGGGTAACCTGGCTTTTGTAGACCTCTGTTCTTCCACCGTCATCACCCCTGAGATGCCGGTTGACTTTACGTCAGAGAAGAAGGGCACTGCTTACGCTGGGTGCGTGGCTCAGGTGGTCATTTCTGATCTTTTTGGGATGACCAAATGCTTCCTGCTGGCTATGATAGCGTATGACCATTACATGGCCATTTGCCATCCCCTGGTGTATCCGCTTGTCCTGTCCCCAAAATGCTGTTTCCAGCTGGTGACTGGGTCATATCTCGTGGGGTTGACAAATGGCATGGGACAGACTATTGGCACGACCAATTTATCCTTCTGCAGCTCCAGCGTCATCGACCTGCTCTTCTGTGACTTTTCCCCTCTGATAACACTCTCAAGCTCCGACACCACCCTCAGACACATATTAAGAACTTCAGCATCTTGGGTCGGTGTGGCCAGCAGCCTGGTTGTCCTGGTCTCCCATGTGGCCATCATCTCTGCCACCCTGAGCAACAGTTCAGCGGAGGGCAAGCACAAAGTCCTCTCCACCTGCGCCTCCCACCTCACCACTGTGAGGATCTTCTGCGGGACATCGCTTTTTATGTGCTTAAAGCCCAGCTCAGACAGCTCGAGAGAAGAAGATAAACGGGCTGCGGTGCTCTACACTGTGGTGACTCCCATGCTGAACCCCTTGATCTACAGCCTGAGGAATACGGAGGTGAAGGAGGCTTTGAGGAGACTCACAAATATCAAATGATCTTGAATGTTGTAAATTTATGGCCAGATAGAATGGAGATGTGGGTGGTATTCTCGGGTTTTGATTAAATATCTGAGATAGATTGATAACATTTTGGGGGTCTTCTGCACTTTGAGTTAGAAGCTGCACTGGCTGATTCAATATCCTCAGCTGGTTCAGGATACTAATAATTTCACTAAGTTCCCCAAACATCGATAATTATATTTAGTAGTTAATTTAACCTAATGAAGACACAGGTAGAGAACTACAAGCATTGCGCTACTCCTCATTTAAAATTTTGCCCCGTCCCATTTATTCAATCCTGTGTATCAGGCCAAATTAAGCCGGAAGAATAAGGCAAAAATTTCTGCAATTGGTTGGACTCACAAGTACGAGCTGTGTCATGTGTTGCTCTCCCTTTTGCTTAGCAAATCAGAATAAACAGGGGGTGAATTCTACTGTTGCACTAAATGAAATTCCATTTCAGGGCAGTGTTGTAAAGTCATGAAAGGCCATAATAACCAGCCTCAGGATGCCAACACCTTCAGCAAGAAAAATGTAGATGACAGCACGTAACTGGTATGCTACGCAGGAAATATTTTTTCTTTTTCATACTCAAACCTCATTCAATGATTAACAGCACCATACACCTCATTTCTTTTTAGACAGCTAAAATTTTAAGTTAAGTACGGTATTCGGGTGACCTCTACTGTGGATGAAGGCACTCTGAAAGCATTTTAAGATGCAGTAGTGATGAATCTCCCCAAAGGCAGATACTGTCAAGCAGCCCCTATCCACTGCTCCACACCTTTGCCTTCCATCTCCCTGTTGACAGAGATAAAAGCCATGATCTCCACGGTACCCCGACCAGAAGAGATCACAGGAGCTATGGTCTCGCTCAGCAGCCTCCTCCTTCAGACTCAATATTTTGCAGCCCACGCCAGCCTGCACCGATGCCATTGCCTGCCCTGACGGCTCTCCTGCCGCCTTCCTGCAGAGATAGCTGCCGGGTGGTGCACAGACGTTGCACACATGAAAAAAGAAGCAAAAAACCCTCCAATTTGTGTATTACCTCAGCCCGTGCAGGCTGCAGCCTCTGTCAGGACCATGGCGAAATCTGGAGCGGCGGCTTAGCCCCAGCGCTATCCTCGAGACATGCAATAACTTGGGTTGGAGGGAGAAGCTGCTCAGTTGGGTTAAATCAAGTCAGGATCAAAGCGGTTTGCTGGTTTATTAACGACACACAACTAACAGGCACCCAGGGTCAACCAGCTGAATCCTTCTTTGTTCCCAAAGCTTCCTGATAATTCCCTGGTTATTATTTAATCCAGCCAACGGTCGGCTGCCTGTCTGGCACTGCCAGCCTGGGGCAAACACCATCCCAGGCTGTTTGTGCTCCCGTTCCTCTCCTATCAGCTGTGCTGCCGTGAGGGTCTGTGCTGGCCCCCCCACGGCAGGGACCCCGGGAGGTCTCCGGTACGGCCACCCACACCAACCAGGGCCGAGTCAGACCCCGTTGTCCCGCTGAGCCTTGGGGACCACCCAGGGCAGAGGTTTCACGCCCTCCCTGGCCCCTGTTTCAGCGTTTGACCACCCTTATAGAGGTTTCCCCCCACCCCCCTCTTTGTTTCTAACTGGAATTTCCCATGTTGCAAATTCACGACAGAAAGTCTCAGATTTATCCTTATTGCAACATGAAGCACGTGGAGCACTTGCTGGTGCGTGGTCGTAAGCGAGCAAAGTTCATCTCGCGTCTCTCCAGGCGTGTTCATCAGGACCTACTCCTGAATCGGGACCTCCGTGTACAATTCCCGCTGTTCTCCCACACTTCTGCTCCTCTGCGACCGTCACCCTCAGGATGCTGTTTAATTTAGGTGCGGGGAAGATTGCTACCTTTTTCTTTAAACAAAAGACTCAAGATTATTTTTAATCTTTTATTTACAGTCCCGGAGCATCTCTTCTTGCAGCAGTGACCTACAGCCGTTATTTGGCAATATGTAAAATACAACAATATTCAATGACTTTGTCTCCAGCTGGTCATGCTTCACCATCACCCGGTGTTTAAATGGGAACACAAACTCTTAGTGTCTTAAAAACACAAGTCTGTGGCTACAGCACTGCTGCTCTGCTCGTTGTGGCTTTCCGCCGGAGGGG